ATAGTATTGATATCCTTATTGATAAGCTAATTAAGCTTTTAATTAAAACACAAGATGAAGGAAATAATTTCAACGAAACTGAATATTTTATTAATCATTGTATATTTCTTTCAAATCGGACGTCGAGTGAGATCTTTGAATGGCTTAACGAGAATCAAATGAAATCAAAATATCAATTTTTCTTGGGATTTTTGAATTTTATTAGTATTAATGTTAAGAAAAATTACAAAGAAGCATTTAAATTATTTTTAAGTGCTTCAAAAGATAATTATCCTATTGCCCAAGTTTATCTTTCAAATAGTTATAAAGATGGATTTGGAACTGAGGTAAATTACGATCTGGCTTTTAAATGGATGCAAAAAGCCGTAGAGAATAAAAGCATTTATGGACAACTTCTTCTTGGAATTTATTATGATAATAGTATAGGGACAGATGCAAATATAGATAAAGCTTCCATTTGTATCAAAAAGCGGCTAATAATGGAAATTTGTGTGGATTATTTTATTTAGGCAAATGCTATGAATTAGGAATAGGTGTAGAAAAAAACGTAACAAAATCATTTGAAATATATAAGAAATTTAATGAAAAGAATTTATAAATGGAAAATATAAACTTGGAATTTGCTATTATTTTGGAATCGGAACTAATACTAATAAAAAAAAAGCATTTAAAATATGTAAAGATTTAGCTGAAAAAGGACATGATAAAGCACAAGCTTTGCTTGGTTATTTATATAATCAGGGCGAAGGCACAAAAAAGGATTTAGTAGAAGCTTTTCATTGGTATCAAAAAGCGGCAGAAAAGGGACATATTGATGCACAATATAATCTTGCAATATTGTATGAAAAGGGGGAAGAAATAGAAAAGGATTTAGGACAAGCCTTTTACTGGTATCAAATAGCAGCAGAAAAGGAATATATCAATGCACAAATCAACCTTGCATTATTATATGAAAATGGTAAAGAAGCAGAAAAAGATTTAGAAAAAGCCTTTTATTGGTATGAAAAAGCAGCAGAAAATGATAATATAGTTGCAATGAACGATTTAGATTTATGTTATAATTGTGGAGAAGGAACTGAAAAGGATTTAGGAAAAGTCTTTTATTGTTACCAAAAAGCAGCAGAAAATGATAATGTAGTTGCAATGAACGATTTAGCTTTATGTTATCAATATGGAACAGGAACTGAAAAGGATTTAGTAAAAGCCTTTTATTGGTATCAAAAAGCAGCAGAAAATGATAATGTAGTTGCAATGAACGATTTAGCTTTATGTTATCAATATGGAACAGGAACTGAAAAGGATTTAGAAAAAGCCTTTTATTGGTATCAAAAAGCAGCAGAAAAGGATAATATAGATGCACAATATAATCTTGCATTATTATATCAAAATGGTGAAAGTGTAGAAAAAAATTTGGAAAAAGTATTTTTCTGGTATCAAAAAGCAGCAAAAAAGGGAAATATTGGTGCACAATATTTTCTTGCATTATTATATGAAAATGGAGAAGGAATAGAAAAGAATCTTGAGATTGCTCTTTACTGGCATCACAAAGCAGCGAAAAAAGGTTACACTGCTGCACTAAATCATCTTATAAATTTATTCGAAAAAGGTGTTGTAACAGAAATTTATTATGAGCAAGTATTATATTGGTATCAAGAAGCAGCAGAAAATGGTTACATTCGAGGACAGAATAATCTTGCATTTCTATATGAAAATGGCGAAGTAATAGAAAGGAATTTTGAAAAAGCTTTTTATTGGTATCAAAAAGCAGCAGAAATGATTATGAAATCGCAATGTATAATTTAGCTAAATGTTATCAATATGGAAAAGGAACAGAAAAAAATTTAAATAAAACTATTTATTGGTATCAAAAAGCGGCAGAAAATGGTAATGAAATTGCAATGTATAATTTAGCTGTATTTTACCAATGTGGAATAGTTATGGAGAAGAATTTAGAAAGAGCTATTTACTGGTTTCAAAAAGCAGCAGAAAATGATAATATAGATGCACAAAATATGCTCACTGTATTATATGAAAATGGGGATGGAATAGGAAGGGATTTGGAAATAAGCTTCTATTGGTGTCAAAAATCGGCAGACAATGGAAATAATATTGGACAGTTAAATTTGGGTGAACATTATGAATTTGGAAACGGCGTTAAAAAAGATGAATTAAAGGCTTTTGAGTATTATAAAGCGTCAGCTGAAAGTGGCTTGGTGGATGCAAAATTTTACCTCGGATATTGTTACGTGAATGGAATTGGAACAGAGATTAATAAAGAATTAGGATTCAAGTTATATGATGAGGCTGCTAAAAAAGATATATCTGATAAAATGGTGAATGATCTAGAAAAAGTTAATTATTGGTATCATAAAGTTGCGGAAAATGACAAATTTGCATTATACAAATTAGGTGAAGTTTACGAATTAGGAAAAGGTGTATGTAAGAATTTAGTTAGAGCATTTGAATTTTATAGGAAATCGGCTAATCAAGGATGCCTAGAAGCTCAATACAAAGTTGGATTTTATTACGATAACGGAATTATAAACGACGTTGATAAAGAAAGAGCATTTGACATGTACAAGATAGTAGCTAAGGAAGGAAGTTGTGATGCACAAAAACGTCTTGCATATTTATATGAACGGGGCGAAGGAGTAGACAAAAATTTAGTTAATGCTATTTATTGGTATAAGAAAGCCATAGAAAATGGATGTCAAGAGGCCAAAGAAAGTTTAAATAATCTTTTATTATATTCCGGACTATTATGATGTTGGAGATGATAATCTTAAATATATTAATACAGAAATTGTTTCTTTACAAATGGATTTTTTTTCTTTTGCTTTATTCACTAATAGTTACGTCATAATATCTTAACTTTTTTCAAATAGATTGATTATATTTGAAGTAATTAATTGAAATTTTTAATATTGAAATTGATTAATATCGGGCAGACCCAAAATTTTTTTTTATTTTTTTTTTTAAAAAAAAAAAAAAAAAAAAAAAAATGATGATCTAAGATGGAACATAAATCGCAATTATTTTATTCTTGCAAAAGAAAATATTTCTGCACGATAAATAAAACATCTTAAAATGTGTGTGACGCCTTTCTAGTCATAATCAAAGCACTTCTACTTAATGTTCCGAATGATAAAATTAATAGTAACTGACACAGCCGAGTGTCACAAACCGGTTACATGATTTGTTAAATAAAAAGTTTAAAAATTTGATGAAGGTTGAAGAGTAAGGGTTTAAATTATTTTTTACCTAAAAGGTTTACATATTGAATCTTGATTAGAGTTTTTTTTTGTATTAAATATCTTTTTTTTAAAAAAAAAAGAAATAAATATTATTATAAACCTCCATTCGTCATAAAAATGTGGAATGAGGGCCATGTGAAAGTCATTTGCTAAAATTTCACATGACATGAAGGGTTTACGACTGAATTTGCTGCCTGATTTGTAAACTTATTAAGTGCTTTTCTAATTCTAGGAATTCTTTTGTTTGTTTAAGCGGGTTTGAAGCTCTTCTTCAGCCAAAACACTTGCAATAATGGTTCGGTAAGATTCATTTTGCAAAAAATACTTCACTCTGAGAAGTTTCGCTGTTCTGCATGATTTGATTTTGGGTTTGACTTTTGCTTCCGTAATTACTGAACCACCTTCGTGCTTTCATTTCTTACTTGCGGCGCTAATTCTTGGAATTAAAGTCGGATAATGTCTTGTTTAAGTTTAGTGAAATGATACGGAGGACTATTAGGAAAGGATAAATAGGACAATTCGTTTATTTGGCTTTGTAATTCTTGATTTTCCTGTTGGACAATAGCTAACTGTTTCTCTAACTCTTTAATTCGTTTGTTATTATCACAAATTTTTTATTTCTTGATCTACAGGGGGGTGAAATAAATATTGAATAATTTTTATTTGATGTTTATTTATATTTATTTGCTACAATAAATTCGTAT